CCAGAACCCAAACTCCCTGTAGCTTATTAAAGCATTAAAAAAAAGTTCTTTAGATTGTATGGAGCAAAAAGCATTAATGAGGAACATTTCTGCTGTTTGAAAAACAGAGGGTGATACCTATGTGGGTCCCCCACTATGCCACTCTCTCACACCCTCACCCCTCTATTTGTATACATTTATCACTGTCTGGAATTATCCAGTTTATTTGTAGTTGTCTTATTCATTGACCCCTTCTTGAATGTAAGCTCCATGAAGTCATGACTTCACCCCCCCCAACTGGGGATTGAACCCAGGGCCTTCTGCATGCTAGATAAGTGCTCTACCACTTGGCTATATCTCTGGCTTTTTTGACCACCAGATTCCAGAGCCTAGAACAGTGACTGATACATGCCAAATGCCACATATATGTGAAAGAACGAACAGAAGTCTGAGACAAGGCTAAAAGTCTCAACCCCTGTGGACTCTATTCACTCTGTCTGCTCTGCAAAGATCTGAGTTGAGGCTGTTCAAGTTGCAGAAAGGATAACATGCTTACAAAGAAAAGGAGAGGGCAGCTCACTTGTCCTGAGTGTCCCTGCCATGTCTGCACATGTGATATAGATTATATGGTTTAGTCTTTAAGCTAACAGGGGCTGGTTTCTCACTCCCATTTTATAGATGAAGAAACAAGAGTGTCTCAGTCTATTTTCAGTTATGGTAAAAGAATACCACAGACTGGGTAATTTATGAACCACAGAAAGTCATTTGGCTAATGGTTCTGGAAGTGGGAAGTCCAAGAGTATGGCTCCATCATCTGGTGAGGGCCTCAGGGCTGTTGATAGATAGAAGAGCAAGGAGCACAACTTATCATTTCATTAGTATCTCACAACTGAGGTAACTAACCCACTCCCTTGATGACGTCATTAATCCACTCATGGAGCTGAGCTCTCCTGACCTAATCACATTTAAAGGCCCCATCTCTTAACACTGTTACACTGGCAATTAAATTTCAAAGTGAGTTTTGGAGGTAGCATTCAAACTGTAGAAAATGCTCAGGGAAGTGACTTGCCCCAAGCAACTCAGCTAATAAAATGTGGAAGCTATATATAAATTACATCTCTCTGGCTCTAAAACCCATACTCTTTTCATTACACTGAGGCTTGATGGGGACTGGAATTAAAGAAAAATTAGTCCATTTAACTACTTTAAATAAGATTAAGTCTCCAAGCCCTGGACAAGGTAAGTATAAGTTATTATTGCAATAATGCCACTTAAAACCATCCCCAAACTTTCTGGTATACAATAGTAAGTCCTTATTATTTTGTGTTCCTGTGTTTGTGGGCTGCGTCCACAACTGTTCCTCAGCTGTGGATTGGGTCCAGGTCAGCTGTATGAGTCTTTAATTATCTTGGTAGCAGTGGGCCTCCTGTGGTGTTGCCTTCTTTTTACAATGGCAGAAGCACAAATGGGATGAGTAGAAATACATAATACATAAGGAAAAGTAGTACACTGTTCCTTGCCCACATTCCACTGGCTGAAGCAAGTCATAGCCCATGCAAGACAAATGCAAATGAGGGCTGGGGATTTAGCTCAGTGGCCCAGCACCTGCCTCAAAAGCACAAGGTCCTGAGTTCAATCCCTGGTAGAAAGAAAGAAAGAAAGAAAGAAAGCAAGCAAGCAATGCAAATGAGATGGGTAGCACAATCTGCCTCCAGCAGGGAGAGTTGCAAAGTCACATGACAAGGGGAGTCCACCCTGGGGGATTAGGTGTAGGAATATTTGTGGAATATGGTAGGTGTTTGGGCACCATGCCATGTACTTTACATGCATTATCGCCTCAAAGCCTCCCAACAAGCCTATGAAGCAAGATCGTTGTTACCTCTGTTTTTCAATGAGAAAACCCAGGCTCAAAACAATTACTCAGGTCCCACTGAAGTAAATGAACTATCAGGATGTGTACCCCTGTCTGTCTGGCACCAAGGCCCAAAGTCTTAGCCCTGACTCGGTTCTACAGAACCAATTGGCAACTGTGTCGGACCAACTGCCAGTCATTTTTCAAAACCTGTAGGTGGTGGGGACAGTACCAGCAGACACTCATATGGATGCAAATTCAAGAAGTAGGAGGAAGTGGGCTCTGGAAATGATCAAAGCTTCAGTTTCTTTTTGTGTCAAGAAAAGGCACTTTGTAAAAGACTATAGGGGAAAAAAAAACCCACCTTTCCTGTAGCTAGGCTAACAGATCATGCTGGACCTTAGTAGACTGGTGGAATTCATCTGTTTTCATGCTTAACCCTCAGCTCCAAGGGGCACTACTCAGCCTCCTCCTCTGCTCCTATTCTTAATTTTATACCTTTGTGGTCTCCTTGCTTTTTAATGCCTCTGTACCTTCACTCTTAATGTGCCCACATCCTGACCTTTGGTCTGAGTTCCCTTGTGAATGGCTTGGGTCTCCCCGAGTGAATAACCTGGAATCCTGCTGCTCGCCCACACTGTTTTGTGTGTGGCTCTCAGACAAAGCCTGTGCCCTCCTTACCAACCTGGGATGTTATTAGGTTTCTCCCACATCCTAGCACCCTGAGGAGGGACCCCTCCCAGGAATATGTTAGAAGAAAGGTGGATCAAGTGGTGATTCTGAGGGTAGTGTGAGCTCAGCGTGGTTCAGTAACCCTGATTTCCTTTATGGAAAAAAACAAACAAACAAAAAAACTGGACTACAAGATCAAGGGAAGATCATGAGGGTAGAACCCCAGATTTCATCAAGGGATTTGACGGATCTGTTCATGATCTCTTTTACACAAAGACTGAGAAACACAGGCTGGTTTAAGACAAATAGATTAGTGCCTGGCTGTTTAAAAAATTATGCTGTCATTAATCAGATGTGCTCCCACAGCCTGAGGGAAGGAGACTGATTGTGCTGAACAAGAGAACTTTGTCCTGTGCCAGGTCCTACCTGAGATCTCCCCTGCCCCGTCTCCCTCAGTCCCTACCCCAACCACTTGGATGAGGTTATAGGAGAATGGTTTTATCATGATGGCTGCCACAAAAATATAAAAGTGAAAGTCAAGACATGGCACCTTACAGAGCCCTTTTCTAGAGAATGATCTCATTGAAGTCTCTAAACAACTCCATGAGGTAGGTATGACCAATTATCCTCATTTTAGATAAGGTTCAGGGTTTAAGTAAATTCCTCAAGATCACTCAACATTATACTGCAGAATGTAGGCTTAAATCCTGCTGTTTTCTGATTCCAAATTCTATACTCTTTGAAATGGGCCACAACAAGCAAGAGAAAATTAATAGAACCTTTTGTTTCTTTTTGTGTTTTACAAGTAGGGCTTGCTATGTAGCTCAGTCCTCTCTTGAACTCCAGATTCTCCTACTTCAGTCTCCTGAGTGCTAGGATTATAGGTGGGTACCATCGCTCCCAGATAAAACCATATTTTTAAAAGTATCCAAGCACGGGTTAGGAGAAACTGGGTGTACCCACTGTTGTGGAGTGACTCTAGGCATCTCTCCCTTATCCCCCAGATCTGTGGTGACAGACCATTGCCTCACTCTGGTCAAACTGCCATTTTCCTCCCCAGTCTGGCCTCCTCCAGTCAGCTGGTCAACCCATCCTGTAGGAGCAGAAGAACAGGAATGCTCCCAACTCTCATAAACCTACCAACTTCAGGTCTAGTGTAGGGAAACTTGTGACATGGTGAAAAGAAGAATGAGCTTAGAAGTTCTGCTAATCAGCTGGCTGCCCTTGAGTAAGTTAACTAAACCTTACTGGTCTTTGGTTACTTTTCCTGCAAAAGAGGACATTCATGGTGTGAATCTTAGAAGTGGGAAGAATTACACAAGACAGTGAATATAAGAATGTTGGCACAGAGCCTGGAAAATAGATCCAAATAAATTGCTCATCTTCAGAGTTGGAAGTCCAGGCTGTTACTCAGATGGGACCAAGATCATCATATTCCCAACTCCATCACTATACTCTCACTCTTTCTAGATCTAAATAAACCCTGGCTTCAGTTCTCTAGAAGACAAGGGTGGATTTTGATTATTTTAATAAGAGGCCCTCCGTATTCAGGAGGTAAGAGAATGTTCAACACAGGGGTGGCTATATCTCTTCCACTACACTTAATAGGGCAGAAAACAGTAATAATGGAACTTCTAACATTTCAGAGCATTGGAACATCCTGTGTACTTACCAGTTTTAGAGTTACTCGGCAAGCAGATGGATGGAGTAACTCTGCTCCTTTACTTCTTGAGAGGTTTGGTGGAGCAAACAGGCAGAAGAGCAGGGCGGCAGAAGGTGAAAAATCATGGAGAACAAGGACCTTTGTGAATCTCTTTCTCAATGCTGCATTTATAAAACAGTAATAATGGAACTTCTAACATTTCAGAGCATTGGAACATCCTGTGTACTTACCATTTTTAGAGTTACTCGGCAAGCAGATGGATGGAGTAACTGCTCCTTTACTTCTTGAGAGGTTTGGTGGAGCAAACAGGCGGAAGAGCAGGGAGGCAGAAGGTGAAAAATCATGGAGAACAAGGACCTTTGTGAATCTCTTTCTCAATGCTGCATTTTCTTTCATGAATGCTACAGAGAAGCTACTGTTTGCCTAGAATTTAATGCTTTCTTCTGTTTATTTTCATCTTTACCAGGACCAGGTGTTTCCTTCAGGTTTTGAAGTTTACATCAGAAGTTTATTCATTTGGTACCATAAAATCCTACTTTAAACAAGACACACATCACATTCATACATTGTAAAAGTAAAAACAAATTAGGTATTTCTGAAGCAATGTATTTTAAACTATATACAAATAACAAGCCAGTCATGGTTGCACACGCCTGTAATCCCAGCACTCGGGAAGCTGAGGCAGGAGGATTGCTGTGAGTTCAAGACCAGCCTGGGCTACACAGTGAGTTCGAGGTCACTCTCAACTACATAGTGAGACCCTATCTCAAACAAAACAAAACAAAATAACCCAAATAACAAATACCTACCTAGGTCAAGCAATGAATCCTTCTTATACTTACTTGGCAGAAGAGACACCATGATCACGAAGGCGGTTTTCCCAGGGTGAGAGGCTCATCCGTTGTGCTCTGGATGTGCTGACCTCTGCGATTTCCCCAAATGTGGGAAACTCTACTGCATACTTTGAGGTAGTGGGGGGACTGTGTTCACCCTCTCCCCTGAAGAAAAAAGAAATGAATTAGTTTGGAACAATAGATTATAGATCTGATTAATTTATTTTGTACAGAAGCAGACAATAATTCACCCAGTGTTGGTTGGGGATTTAGCTCAGTGGTTCCGCTGCCTGCCTCGAAAGCAGAAGTTCCTGAGTTCGATCCTTGGTACAAAAAAATAAAATAAAAAAAAATTTTATTTGAAAAAAATAATTCACTCAATGCTGAGTACAGTAAGGATTTTGCTGAAAATACTGTGGTGATGCAGATGGTCCTTGCCTACATGTCCTTGTCTTATCTGCAGATTAGCCTCTGACAGGAGAATTTACAAATTCCCAACCTTCTGAATTTACATTAAAAGACTTTAAAACTTCTTGTTTTAAATTTTCTTTAAAACTTTCACTAGCCCACCACCCAAATCTCTGCCTTCTCAGTTACTTTTTCTTCTCCTTTATGGATGCTGTTCTGTGGCCGGAGACTAGGGTGTGGCAAACTGGGGGGACCAGCAGTGTGGCCTGTCAGTCACGGAGATCCACGGTATTTGCACCTGAGCTCTGCATGTGGAATCATTTGGAAAGTGCTATCTTCAGTCCTTCTGGAGAGAGCACATGCAGGGTTTTGATAGGACGGCCTAGACCTGACATCAGCCTGCAGAGGGGGAGACACAAAAGACTGTCGCCATTAAGCTCTTGGCCACCGTGCTCTCTCTTTTTTTCAGTGGTCCACTCTCACCCTGTAGCGTAAACTTCTTTTCCTACTTTTAATTGGCTCACACTTGCTCTGCAGAGCTTGTTTCTTTTCCTACCTTTATTAAAATGTAAAATCTTTTTTTCACTTCCCTTATTACCTTTCCCCTACCCTTCCCACTTTCCCAAAACCGTTAGCCCTTTTCTTCCCATTTCACAAAGTCAGTTATCTCATTAGGATCTTATGTACTGTTACAGTTTATTTACACCAGAGAAACTCTTCGATATTTACACATGTGTGACTTATTTATTTCACTTAGGAGTATGTCCTCCATATGTATCCATTTTGCTATGAATGAGTCTAATGAAAAAATGGAAATAAAGTGTTTGTAAATGGGGAGGGAAGAAGAGGGTGAAGGGAGGGCAGGGACAAGGGGAAAAAATGAGAACCAAGACCTGTCATGTAAAGGTACAAGATCCCAACAATGAATGTAACTGTACTGTATACCTAAAATGTACCAATAAACTCAATAAAAGAAAAAAATGTAAAATCTTGCTATCTTTTGTGCTTGTTTTGTCCAATTCTTTGTTCAGGACAAGAAGAACCTACACATAATCTCTGGAAGGAGTCCCAGCACCCAAGAAACCAGTAACAATAGCACCTCTGCCTACTTCAGCACTTACAGTTTTCCCCACATAAGTTGTCCTATAGTCAACAAACCCTTCTGCACATGCAAGCCAATCTTATCCACTTGTCACTTTGAGCTAGTCTGTTTACATTGCATCATCCCTTTTTTCTTCTCTTTACAGCTTTATTGAGGTAAATTGACATACCATAAAAACCTTCCCATTTTAAATGTATAATTCAATAATTTTCCCAAAAGGAACAGAGTTGAACAATCATCACCATAAAACAGTTTAAAACACTTTCCATTACCCCAGATGATCCTTTATGCCTATTTACAACAATCCCTTTTTCAAATCTTGTTACAGTTTATAACTAGATGTCCCCCGAAAGCACCAGGTGCTCAAAGGCGGGGCTTTTGAAAGGTGATTGGATTATGGCAGCCTTAGAGCTAAATGTTACATTAGGAGGCGGGGTTTAGTCAGAAGAGGAGGCGAATCAGTGTGGACATGGCCTGGGACAGGTACATGTCCTTCCTAATTTCTCCCTTGACACTCTTGTTCCTGTCCAGATAGAGAGCAACAGTCTCCTGCCATGATTCTAGGTGTACTGTCCTGCCTTGGAGCCAGCCAAATATGGACTGAAACATAAGCCAAAATAAGCATCTCCTTCCCTAAATTGTAGATGTTAGATATTTTGTCCTGCCAATGAAGAAACCAACGAAGACAAACCCCATTGGGTTTAGGCAACCACTAATCTACTCTGTCTGCATAGATAGACATTTTCTGGATATTTCACACAGTTGAAATCATATAGTATATCTATCATCTTTGATGCCTGACCCCTTTCACTTAGCTTGATTATCTGAAGTTCATTTATGGTGCAGAATACATCAATACAGATGTTCCTCTTTTAGGGCCAGGGTTTTGACTCACAGCCTGCCTTGCAAGTGCAAGGGCCTGAGTTCAAGACCTGGTACAAAAAAAAAAAAAAAAGAGAAAGACATTGCTCTTTTAATGACCAAGTTCAGTTCTTGTAACTAGGTTGTTAAATCAAATGGTCACTAAATAAGGAATTGTATATATTATGTACATTATAATATTCACAAAAAGAAGTGGCCAGAGGAAACTCCAACCTGATGACTTTGCTTTTATTTGCATAACTCTTACATGCAGTACTATACATCCGTTCCTTGTTTAATGACCTACCTGTTTAACAACTGTTCAGGCTTAGGACTGAGGCACACTCTTCAGATGTATGCCTGCTTCTGGGACTTACTACTCCTCTTTTTTTGTACAGCTCTGTACATCTTGTTTATAGAACCTCAATGTCTTTTTCTTGTTGTGAGGCCCAGAAGAAAGGGAGGCTCAGGATTGAATGCACACTGCTTGTACCACAGTGTGGTACAAATCCTACTTCCTGATTCCTTCCAGAGCACATAGATGTCTCAATCCATTCCCAAAGCGAATCAGGCTATCTGGAAAATGTATACTGTGTCCAATGTCACACCTTATATTCTTGTGCCATTTACTTCTGACTTGCTAAATAGCTTTTCCAGGATGTCTCAGAGTGGCCCTGGCTGAAGATGTATGAAGCAACTCATGCCAAGAGGTATTATATCACCCTGCCTGCAGACTTGTGGCACCATGAATTTAAGATAATATTATGATGAGGAAGTTAAGAAACACAGGAAATGAAAACACTATAGCAGCCTGGGCTAAAGATCCAGGAGAGAAACAACTGCCCAATGGTGAGGATCTGTTTGTAAAAGCATAGGTCGTCCAAGCAAAAAATAATTGAGGCAGAAACCATAGCTGCCACTCCCAGAAAGAACTTGCCAAGGAGTCTGCAGGGAGTTTTCAAAAACTCTGTCTTCAAGTAGGGCTGTGCCAAGAGAGAGAAGCTGTGGATGTTGCAGGGGTTGTTTGCCTGGCTGGATCCCATGTTAGCTGAAAGAGTAAGTTAGAATGTTCTAGAAAACATGTTTCTCTTTCCTTTGCTTCCTCTTATGGTCTGTTGATTTAGCACATACTGTGTTGGTTTTTACTTTTGGCCTGCTGGTAGCCTGGATATCAGAATATGTGGACAGGATTTAAGATTTGGAATTTAGTGTTCCATCTCTCCAGGTTGGTCTAACTCCTATGTAGGCTTTCCCTGATGTAGGAGGGATTAATGGTACCATTACTGACCTGAAACTGCAGGAGCCCCACAGTAACACCTGATCCTATGGCTCTGAGATAGCAGACTTTGCTCCAGGAATATGGAGAAAGGTGTGGTGCGTCACCCTGCAGCCCCTGTAGCCTCAACCCGAGCTCTGTGTTCTCTTGCAGGCTCTGAGGGTAACCTGGGGGGAAACAGCCCAGCCACTGCAGGAAAGGCTCTCAGTGTGGAGAGCAGCAGGGAAAAATGGGGCCACCTAGAATCATTTGGCTCTTTTTATTATTTATTGGGAGATTTTTACATACCAGGCACCACCATGTGATTAGTCTTTTATAAAACTTTCCTCATTGTAATCCACACAAGAACACAGTGAGGTATTAGTCTGTGTTTGTATCTCCCTCTATGTGTATCTAATATCTCTATGTATCTATGTATGTATGTATGTATATGTATCTATCTATCTATCTATCTATCTATCTATCTATCTATCTATCTATCATCTACCAATCAATCATCTACCAAGAGTTTTTGTTTGTTTCAAGAATGGGATCATGTGGCAGAGGGTTTAGCTTAGTGGTTCCACTACCTGCCTTGCAAGTGTTCCCTCTCTGGTAACCCCAAAAATAGAATGGAATCACGTGATTGTGGAGACTAGCAAGCCCAAACTCTGCAGGGTGGGCCAGCAGGCTGGAGACTCAGGAAGAGACTATATTGCAGTAGAAGTGAGAAAGACTCACTCTTGCTCACTCTTTGTTTTTGTTCTGCTCAGGCCTTGAACTGGTTGAATTTTGCCCGCTCTCATTACAGAGGAAAACCAGGGATTTAGCTCCGTGGTTCCACTGCCTGCCTCACAAGCACAAGGTCCCAAGTTCAATCCCCGGTTTAAAAAAAAAAAAAAAAGAAAAGATGTTCATTATAGAGGGAAATTAGCTTAACTTAAAGCTCACTGATTTAAATTTTAATCTCACTCAGAACACTGTCACAGAAACACCATATAATGTTTGACCATATATCTGGACACCAAGGTCAGGCTAAGCTGATATTACAGGTGTGTGTTGTGTGCATTTCACAGATGAAGCAATTGAGGTGTAGATAGTTTAAGCATTTTGAGCTCACAGGACCAGTAAGTGGTTACCTTGTTGTCCTTACTGTTTCAAACCCAGATATTGTTGTATTTAAAAATATGGATTTGGCCTCATTATTCTATTATCTCCTTACATGTGGTGGCTCTGGAGGGACAGGAAAGTCAGTAAATATTGGCAAATGAGTAATTGTACAGATAAATGTATAAACAGCCAAGAGATGTTAAAACAGAGGAGGGTCTCTGAGGGCTCAGGATCTAATTAGGAGAGTGATCTGAGGAATTGAGGCTGCTCACACCCACCATTCAGTGGCTGGTTGGTTTTTTTCTGGTTAGCTGGACAGCTGGATAGAGAACCAGAGACAGTAGTTTGGGGGGAAAAGTAGTGACTGGCAAGAAATGGAATAGGGAAAGACCCAGAACCCCAACATCTACAGAGAGGCAAGAAAGCTTAGAA